CTGATTTAAGTTAGAAGAAGGGCTAAAAACTTGTACTGGTCAGCTATAGGAGCCATTTCTGTAATAACATTTATTTGGAAACAATATTTTTATGGTTATCAAAAATACAAGAATACTATATATTATATCAGGCAGTTCATCCAAAGTCTTATATAAAATATTCTTTAGACTACTGTGCTTAGAAAAAAGTTTCATCTAAAAAGTTAACTCAGAATCAAACTTAAGGTTCAGCCATAGCTATACTTTTGAGATTTATTTAGAGTATTTCCTATAAATTCCCATTTGATTTCTATTTTATTATACTGTGGTATAGGTATTTTATTGCAAGCTACTTTCTTGTGAAGATGAGGTGGTTTATGACTAAATATAAAGTAAAATAAAACAAAAGTATAATATATGTATGGCATATATGTGCATTCACATATAAATATATGTGTATGTGTATATATATATATATATATATATATATGTTAAAACTATATTTGTTTTTGGTTAATGTGAACTTTACTTTTAATCCCCCTGGGATCCTCAGAACTGTTAAAAATAATAGTTTCAAATGTTGATGTCCCATGTGGAATTCCAGAGCCTGGATATCAGTGTAGAGATAGCTAAAATCTGTGTGGTTTAAAATATTTTTGAGGAAAAGTGCTTTTTGTTTGTTTTCTGTTTTGATAATAGTGTTTAGAAACTCTTGACTTAGCAACTCTTCCCAAAGACCAAACAGAGTATGCTACATACAGCTGGTTTGTATCACTTGATTGTTTTGTTTTCTTTAGTTTATTGGCTAAAATAGATTGCTTATGCCGTGGCATGGTACCTCACCTGTGTTCCTTCCAGGGCATCCACCCAAAATGCTATGCAGGGAGACTCTGCTAGGATGTTTGAACATATGAACAAGCTTTTCCTCTGATCTTGAATGAAGGCAAATGGTGACTACAAAAGCACATGTACATATAATAATACTTGGTAGCATTGTTGTTCCTATTAGTTGCCCTCCCTCATTCTGTCTTGTGTGCTCAGTCAACTACTATTCTTCCTAAAGATAAAAATGCAATGATTGCTTTGTGAAGCGAGCCTTCCTTAGCCTTGATCAGGTTAATTCTGCCTTACTATTTGTGTTCTTAGCATCTTGTAGCATGCCCCTTTTGTACTATTTACAACAGTTATAAATAAGTTTACATTTATTTGTGTAATCTTTTGTGTAAAGTCTCTCTCCCAAAAGTTCATTTCCTCAGTAACAGGAAGAAGTTGTGTGTGTGTGTGTGTGTGTGTGTGTGTGTGCTCATGTGTGGCTCTTTTGCTTATTGTACAGTGCCTAATCCCTAATAGAGACTGAAAATAATATTGAACTAATGGATAAATGCATGAATGAGTATGGTAGCATCCTTTTACACATTCACAGGTGATATGGTAAGTGTTTATTTGGCAATCTCAGTTGGCAGAGAACTGATTTCTTTTCCTACCTTTTTCTTATTCCTTGAAGGTATGTGTTTCTTCCTTGGTGATTCATAGAAGAGGAAAAATTAAACAGATTATCTTATCTTTGTCTGTGAAACTTGTTACATAAATGTAAAACAAAGTGTCTTGTTCACGTGTTACAGTTCACTGCTCTGAATTTTAAGTTGTAAAGTATTTGAGCGAGGTAGAGTTTTACCACGTATTGAAGGGTAATGAAATAGCTTCTTTCCTGGAATATGCAATCATTCTAAATAACTGAATAAGTTGCAGTGCTGAGATTTAGACAAAAGTAACTTGGATATTTCATAGCTTCTCTGGCATGTTCATTCTGGATGTGGAGTCACTGCAGTAAAAGCTTTCAATTCACTTGAGCTTCTTGGGTACCTAGTCAACAGTGAGTTCAAACCACAGCCTCTCATATTCCCCAAACTAGGAGTTCTCTGTAACATTTTTCACTAATACAATTATGCTGTATCAGTGAGCAGGCAGCTTGCAGAATGATTGGAAAGAATGTAGGTTTTGGAGTCAGCTCAACCTGAACTCAAGATCAACCCAAGCCTTGTAATGATTAACTGAAAGACTCTGGGAATGCTCTTTATTCTCTTTAAACTTTAGTTTCTTTATTTAAAAAATTGAGATAGTTCTTTTATTAAAAAATGCTTACTTTGCACCAATGCTTAAAAGAACCCATGTTTGTGAAGCACATTACTATTATCATTATTTTCAGGATTATATTAATTTTAATTAAAAAATGATTCAGAATCAATAAAAAATATAGCAGAAATATTTCCATAGGTGTCCTTGAGGTCTCTTTGCCAAGTAATAAAGTAAATAATTTCCACTAGCATAAAATTGAATGGTGGAGTGTATATAAAAACAAACTTAGGTCTGACATTCTTAGCCAAATACCAACCAGGAAAAGATAATTTCCTAATAATGTCAATGTGTCAGGAAATATACTCTCTTTTGCAGACACAGAGGTTTCTTTATAGAGCAAGTAATAATTAGAGTCTTCGATAAGAAAAAGTGAGGGGATGAGACCTTTGGAATATGCAAATGCAATGGAAAGCTGGGCAGATTGAGATTTACCCTGCTAAATGCTCCAAACCTCAGTATGAGAGTGATCTATAATTTTCCCCTGAAATGTGCTAACTAGGCTAAAATCTCTATTCTGCTATTGCTGCTGCTGCACTTAGGATCAGAGAAGGTGATCATCTGATTTTTTTTTTTTTTTTTTTTTTTTGCCCCTGTAGAATCTTGCTCTTAGGCTTGGTAATGACAGGGTCTGGTGGAGGGCAGAGACCTGGGACCCAGTGGGGTACAGTAGGCTTTGACTACTGTCAGTTCTCAGCATGTGGCACAGGGACCAAAGGGCTGGCTCCAAGGAAAAGATCTGAGGGCAGGGCAGGGAGGGTTGTGGAGGCTGTGTTGAGTAGCAGCCTGGTAGCAGGCTGGTTGGGTGAGGGAAGCAGGTATTCTTCAGCTGCCTGTCCTCTGTTATGGAACAGCATTTTTTCAACCTTAAACTCGTTACACCACCTGTATACTAGACACTGAGGTGTCTTGACAATCAGTGACCATTATGCCTTTAAGTTCTTTGCTTAATGTAAGCAAAGCCTGCATTTCTCCTGCAATGTGGAATCTTCTCCCGTGGCAGTAATCCTGCAGGAGCTATTTGGCTGAGGCAGAACAAATTTCATGTATTTAACAATATTGAGACAGGTCCTTTCTTAGCATATGCCTTGTACTTTAACCAACTGACTATGACACAATGCTACCATAAGAAAAGAGCCAGAAAGGAGATGTGTGATAGCTTTTCTGGAGCATTCATTAGTCATTGTGGGGCATTTTCTTTTGTTTGAGAAAAATGAGGCATATATTCTCTTTACTGCTTTAGTTCATGTATCAAATTCCCCAGAGTTCTTTCCCATTTTAACTTGGCTATCTCTTAAAAGAAATAGAACATAGCAAAGTAAAATATTACCAGTTATTACTATATTTAAACTTTAATGTTTTGTCATGGTGCTTTCATTACCTTTGTTCTTACTTTAGAGGTTTCACATCTGTATTCTTGGCAAAATTACCACCAAAGAAAAAGATGTAACTTGCCTCCTAGAGCAATATGTATTCTCTGTAGCTCTGTGTATTCATTCATACTGCTTTTGAATATATCAATTTGATATTTTTGATGGTAATTATGATGACATAAGTTATACAAGATACACTGAGATAAAATGAAACCAATAACTAAAGACTCCTCTATATCACTATAGTATTTTTAACCTATTTTGGAAAACTCATCCAGTCTTTGAGGTCCAGATCAAATACCACCAACCTCAGAAAGCTTTCTCTATCCTCAAAAAGCACATTTCTCCTCCTGTTGTGATTTCCCAGCTTACCTTTTTTTATTCATCATTCATTTGGCACTTATTTTTCATTCTACACTGTGGGTTAGTTTTCTGTGCCTTTACAACAAAAATATGCTTTTACATAAATGTATATAGTAACTTCCATAAGAACTACAACTTTTTAATTTTTTCCATGAGTCCTGCTTGGCACCCTGCTTAGCACAAGTAGGAATCAAAACATCTTTAGTGTGTGATTATATTTTTCCCCATCTTTTTCATTAATCAAAAATGGATCCAATACCTAGTCTGAGCTAGCAACTGCGCTGAGTTCCCAGGACAGTGTCAGCAAAGCAGACTTGGTCTTGGTCTTTGATTAGAAATAATTACTCCAGTTTTTCCTTGTTTCTTCTGTATGGTTTTATGTTGAGAAGTAGAGTGGTAGAATGTGGGAAGCAGCTGGACAGGAGAGAAAAATGGGGTGGCTCGAAGAAGCACACATCGTCCCCTTTCTCATATTCATAGCAATGTTTTAGAAGTTAAAAGCGTCAGCTCTGGAGTACGTGCCCTACCTGTGTTTAAATCTTCCCTCTACATCTTCTCTGGGTGGCATTGAAATTGTTATTTAATCTCATGAAGGATCAATTTCTGCAAATAATAGAGTCTGCTACAGCAAAGGAGATGATGTTTGTGCCAAACTGAAAATATCTGCTTAATTAGTGTTGGTAGTTATTATCGTTGTTGTTATTGTTAGTTGCTGTTACCTTTACACGCATGGGTGTTAAGGAAGACCATGTCTAGTACTGCTTGGAGTAGGGCAGAGTTTACTGAGGGTGGGAATTTGCTCCAAGGATTCCTTTCCCAGATGGTAGACCGGCTCCAGGCGCCCTAAAAAACCCTGAAAAGTATGCTGGCTCCTTCTGTATTTGGATTTAAGTCTGACAGCTGTGGGTTTCCTGGAGCTTGCCTCCCTTAGGCAGCTCTCCCCTTACCTAAGGTGAGACTTACTAGATGGAAGAGTATGTGGCAGTAAGGAGAAATGTGTTCTTCTCTTTGGCATCCTAGTTGTACATTTACTCAGCTTCAAAGGGAAGAATTGTGTTCAGTATTTTGTGGGTTAAACTTTTCTGGCTAGAACTTATATTTTCTCAAATACTAACAAAATGGATTTTCCTCCTTACCCTCTCTTGTTAATAGGGTGCTGAGAAAATTTTGTCAATGAATGAATCAGGAGAACTGCAAGACCTCCTAACCAAAATTGAGGTAAATGTGCTTTTAGCAACTTATTTTTAGTAATCAAAATGTTAAACACATTCTGATGATAATTGAGTTTTTCTAATTGAATTCTCTCTCCCCATGTTCTTACAAATATGCAATAGGATACATGTGGCAGTTTTACTTTGATATCATCTGCTATTAGGTTTGTTGCAGCTGGAGTGACTTTAATGTTAACTTTTAATGATCTCATACTATTAGGTGAGTGTTATGGTCAGCCTTATTTGAGCCCAACTCTCTGTAATACAGGCAATGATGAGGTGTTTCAAGTCAGGAAATAGTCTTGAAGCACATCAAAATTTTTCATTGAAACAACTTTATTTTTCCCATGGATCTTCCTACATGTAGAAGACCTTCCTACATCATTTACAAAGATTAGAGAAAAAGTTATTTCTCCAAAAAGCAAGTTTTAATTCATATTCCTGTGCTTATAAATATAGCATCAAAGAAATATTTATTCAAATATATATAAAATTAACGTGCAACTGGAAAGCCCTTATTACCTCACTGCTAAATTATTTCATCAGACTGTTTCTCTCTATTTGTAAGAAGATTAAATACTTTATTGTCCTGACTGGGACACTTTGAGAGTGATAAGTGTGCATTAGTAATTATTCTGGGACAGCAAATGTGAAACAGGACTTTCCCAGGAGAAATAGGTCATATGGTTATCTACTGTCTGTATGTCACTACTGGTTGTTATTGCTCTAGTCTTACCTAACCTAATTTCTGATTCTCTACCATTCCTTCCACTCCAGATAAAAGAAAGAACTATGTGGTTTCTTGTGCTTTCTTAATACTATCGCTTTGTGCAAACTGTTCTGTCTGCCTAGAATGCTATTGTTCCAATTCCTCATTTCTCTCCACCATCTTCAAGGCCCATCTTCAGTATCAGTTCTTCCAACAGTCATTTCTGATCTCCCCCACCTTTGAATTCCTATAACCCTCTTTTCAGGGGGCTTATAAAAGCCTTTTTTGTATTACTTTTTTTTGGGTGTTTGACTCATGTCCAAAGTGAACTATATGCTCCTTGATTGGAGGATTCATGTTTCATTTGTATTGTGACCTTGCCCAGAAGGAAAACAATAGATTCATTCATTCAACAAACATTTATTGAGTATCTACTATTTATAGGTACTTTGCTAAGGGAGACAACAATGTCCTCTCAATGTTCTGCAGGCATATAGCAAGAACTCAAAATCGTTTTTTATCAGTTTGTGTCATAATACAAACAATAGTGTATGTTTAGATACTGTGGTCCACTGAGGATGATGGCCAGAAATATAGTGCTTATAAAGGGGGAGGATGCTTGGGCTTTAGCAAAATAGCTTACTGTGGTCTGATTCTAAATTCAAAAGCCATGTGGTATATACAGAGAGTAAACTTGTTTTTGTAAAATGTCTTAAATTTCCTTTTTTTCCATAATTTATACTTTCTAAAGTATTATGACTTGGACATCAGAAGATTTTTAGCTTCTTCCTCAGCTCTGCTGCTGGCTTTGGGCATAACCTTTCACCTTTCAGGGTCTTGATTTATTTATCTATTAAATCAGGGTGTGTACTTGCTCCTCTTAAAACTCCTCTTAGCTAAAAAGTCTGAATGAATGGATCTGTTTCTTTCCTTCTGTTCTCATATACTACTCGAATCCTATGAATTCATTCACTTACATTATCATGTATCTTTTTATTTAAACAATTTGGTTTACATGTATTATTCTCTGTGCACATTTTAAACTTATTTAAATGGTATTATGCAGTATCATTGATCTATTTACTTCTTGTTGCACCAGTATCATCCTATTTTTAATTCTGTGGTATAATAGCATTTTTAAGGATCTTATGGGATGAATAACCTTCATTGCTTTCCTTTGTAGAGATTGATGATTGATCGAGCTATTCTGGACTTTTATTCCATTGAGTCTGTAATTCTTAGTTCTACAACTTGATCAACAGTACCATGGTAGATGATGTAATCTCTTTTTCTCCGTCAGCTCAAAAACTTTAGAAAAGAAGATATTTTTCTCTTCGTTAAGTCTGTCTCCATTCTACAGGTGACATAAATAAGGCACAAATATTTTAGTTATTTTTAATGTTCAAAACAATGGTATGGCATTGGCTTTCTACTGTTACAGGAACTCTACAGTGCTATCACTATGTCCAGTTGCTTTGGCCATATAGTAAAACTGGTGGAGAATTTGTAGCCAATCAAGAAAGCCCAGAACTCTGCCTGAGAGGGAGCGGGAGTTTAAGAGGAAGTAAAGAGGCCAGATAAAAAGAAGCGCTGGGAGAGCCATGCAAAGATGATAAGGGATACAAAATATAGATCCAAACTCATTCCATTTCTCTGATTGGCTTTTGACAGTAGGGTAGGAATTAAATATTCATGACAGAGGAAACATTTCATTCCTTTCTATGTAGCAAGATATATTCCTGGCATTTTTTAGGTATTAAATCATTGAAAGCTCACAACTCTGCTAAATGGGTTCTTTTATTATCCCCATTTTACCCGTAAGGAAATGGAGGTATAGAAAGATGAAATCATTTGCTCAAGAGTGTTTAAGTAATCAGTATTTGATTTATGATTCTAATCAGTCTGACTCCAAGCCCATGATGCTAATTAACTGTGAACCTATGCTGCCATGACTCGCAAATTAAGTGCCATGTAGGTACCTAGGAAATCTGACTATATCATGACAGGACATAAAGCCTGGGTGAGTAGTTTCCTAGGAGATAAGCTGGTAAAGGTTGTAGGTACAGGGATTAGGCTGGGTTTTGACACAGGGCTCTGACATTAGACAGATCCTGGCCAAGTTCTAGTTTGCTGTTACTTGGGTCACTGCATGGTGTCTATGACCACTCCTGGTCCTCATAATTCAGGTTCCAGTTTCTAGCAGTTATTTCAAGTAGTGGTGAAAAGAGAGACTTAGCAGCTGTGGTGGGCCATCAAAAATGGAGTCAGAAAATAATTTCAAATTTTTCTGCACCAAGAATCTTATCATATATCTCACCCAACTGAAAATTGCTCTGGAAGCTGAGTGGGTCTGATTTGTTGATGAAGATTATTGGTGGCCTCAAAAGTGAGGAGCTGGCCAAAGGCAGCAGAAGCTGGTAACACATGTGATAGGTGGTATGAAGACGTGGACTCAGTAGAGCCGGTTGTGCCAATGGGAACTGTGTTCATGAAATGACAGGTTGCAGGTAATCTTTCCACTAATATATGAGGTCCATGTGAACACAGACATTCATTTATTTTGTTTTATTATTTACCTCTAGTGCCTAGAACAGGGATTGGCATATCCCAGGCACACGTAAATATTTACTGAGGAGACAAATAAATGACTTCTCTTTCATCCAAAGTTTTTTTTTTTTGGAAGAGGCAAAGCATTTAAGAGATGCAAAGAAAGAGAAAACTATTATTTTATATAAAAGAATATATGGCTGAAAGGATGAATGAAACCACCATTTTTTTGGTAAATTATATTTATTTATGTTAATAAATAGGCTAGAAATTAGAAGCAATGAGGTGTCTAAGGAGTCCTCACAAAACAATAACCAAGATGGATAGCTAATCCTGCTGATGCCCATGCAGGGAGAGCCAGGGGAGCACTGAGATATATTAGCATATCACTGGTTCTGGCAGACACTGAATGAAAGATCTTAGATGGCAGAGAAGCTCTAAGTAAGCTTTGCCTTGTTATTTTTCTGAAGATATGAGTAAATAGTTTTGTTTCCATTTGTACCGAGATTAACAACATAGTGCTCATTTTCTGTCCTTTTTTTGGTAAAGCTTATAAAAATTAATCTGATTCTCCCCTGAGGGCTGGTGACTGCTTATTTGTTCATGAAGAACCAAGCAAAGATTCCCAGCTACAAACTTAGGATGTCAGAAATGGCACAGGCTGTCTGCACAAGGCATTGGAGCTGTCAGAGATTGTCCTGAGGCTCCCTGGAGAAGTATAGCTCTGAATGATGGTCCTTCCTGGGGGAAAAAGGGGTGGGCATGGCCCGTTCTGAGGCTTCAGCAGCAGGCACCACCTGCTCACCTGGGGAATCAGGCCATGTCATCTGCCTCTCTCTGAAATTAAAACATCTATTTAAGTAGGTTATGGCAGTCCATCCCATCTGGTTTAAGAATCAGACTCCTATATCCAGGCTTATACATTTAGAATTATGAGCTACAAATTTCCCTTGTGTCTGCATTTTGTTCAGTGGCTTCTTTCTCAACTCTGCAAATTAAGAATGCCAGAAACACTGATGATGAGAAAAGATTCTATTTATTTTTTTAGAAGCTTGGTCAGGCAGAGGGGTGTTTAGTAGGCATTTAAGCATTTGCAGAATTAAATTTTTGAATCTAGTTTAAAACAAAATACATAGAACAAGATGAATCATCTAGAGATGATTATAATGCCAGGCGTGTACTCCCTGACAATTTGTTTCATGGGTAATACTGCTTCATAGACAATCTGGATGATGAGGTGTATTGTCACAGAGGCTCAAATAAGTTGCCTCTTCTTTGGTAGGATACTTAAGGGACTTTCATGCTCTATTGGAATAGGATTTGATGATCTGAGGTTAAAAATAATAAGAGCTTCATTTCCTGATCTTGAAGAAGGCATAAAGACTCTTGATCTTAGCATCCTGTTTCTATATTGCATAACTGGGGATAAATTTATATTCTTAAAATTTGAGTTTGTGCTACAAAGGAAGTCTATTTGACTATCATTCATAAACTGTGCCGTTATCTTTGTCATTTTGGTCCCTTGTTAGAGACGTAAGACTTCTTGTGTGCTTCAGTTGAGATGACTGCAATATGGAGCAGACCTATTCAAGACTTAAGGGTGAGGCTGAGATGTATTATTAGGAGAATAGGGAAGTGTCTGGTTCACAGCTTTATTCCCATTGCCTTACACAGAGTCTGTCTAGTGAATACTCAATATATATTTGTGGAATGGAATGAATAAGTAAAAGGTCCCACCCCCTGAGTATCCA